GCCCACATAAGATGACTTTTCTGAGAACTTAGAATTTTAAGCAGCACAGAAAGGATACAAGCAAAAAGAGCAGAAAAGGGTCTGACGGAGCAGCAAGGGGGGTGGGGACACAAGGAAAGCAGGGCGCGGGCCTGGAACGTTTTTTAAGACGTCTTCAAGCATCTTACAAACATTCATTAAATTAAGCATAACATGCCTCGGAGGAGTTGTGCATCAACTGCACGGCCGACTCTCCTCCACGCCCTCCTCTGCTGTGCACACGCGCTCAGCATGCGTATCCAGAAAGGCACCTGTCTCCTGGGACCTTGCATAACATTATGAGTGACAAAGATTCTTTTTAGAGAATACAGAAGTGCACGCACACACAGACGACTCTTTGTAAGGGCCAAAGGAGGATGCAGTTCCTGGGTACGATTTGCTGCTCCACCGGAGGAACGCTCCCTGTACGCAACGCTGTTTTATCGGGCGTACTGTGGGTAATGTGCCTCCGGGCCCACACGCCGCCATGTGCTGGAACACGTGCTGCGACAGAGAGCTCAGGGTGGTGGCTGCAGTTGCAGGGCCGGAAGCCTCCGTCAACCTCTCCCTTTGTGCAATGCGTTGCATACCTGTCACTGTATTATTTTAAGATGGTATGGAGCAAGCAAGGTGCACACTTAATAAAATTTTCCCACAAAAAAGGAAGAAGATATGCACCAGGGCAGCTCCCCACCCTTCTCTATATGGCAACGAGAGCAATTACAGTGTAAATACCCACCTGCCTACAATTTCCAGAAACAGCAGCTAAAGAGGCTTCCTCCCCCGCCCCCCATTTTGACATAGAGACAAATCTTCTGCATGCACAGGCTGGGGGGCCAAGGAAAAGGGTGCAGCATACTCTATCATGACAGGTAGTCTGTCTTTCTGACCAGAATATGCTCTTCTTTTCCATGCCATGTGCTTCCGGCTTCAGTATGATCATGCAGCATTTTAAAGGGGCTTCGCCCCAGGCTAAAAGCATCACCCACCATGCTGTCAAGTGCAAGAAACAATCTTCTAATTTAAATACAATAAAAAAATTTAAAAGTGTAAGGAAAAACGCCACAGATGAAAACACAACCCCTCCCAGGCCACTCTCTTGTTTTAACCATCACGACACAACTCAAAGCATGTGTGGTTCTTCCCAGTGAGTACGCTCCCTCCCCCATCAGCCAATATACGCACCCCCCAAAAAAAACCAGCTAACATAACACCCCAACGCAGCCAGGATCAAACCTCAACAGCGGACAAAAGCCGGCCAACCTCAAAAAAGTCAGACCCACAAACTCTTTGTGACACAAGAGCCCTGCCCCCACCAGACCTTCTCGAATACCTCACACTGCTGTCTTGAGCTGCAATCTACCTTAGCCCCCCCATAACGCCATGCGCCTGAATGAGACTACCCTGCAATACATTTGCAACTGAAACAAACCAGCGTCTAGACACTCACTAACAGTACCTGTGCCACTCCGGAAACCTAGAAGCAAAATCTGAGCTTCGGCCAACTCGCTACTCCCTCTGATTGTTTCTCAGCAACACCCTTAGAGGCAGAACTCAGACAGAGTCAGACTTCAGCCTTGGAAATGTATTTGGAAAACTAAGGGACCAGTGCCCTGAAATCTACAAAGAAAAGGTAAAGGGAGAGAGAGCATGATCTCAAACCAATGCAGCAGGCAACTAACTGCCTGGCCACTAAGTCACTTCAACTGTCCCATATATCTGGAAGTAGGCAACGGGGCCTGTAGGTCAAAAGGGGTAACACCCCCCTCAACAAGACTTGCAAGCAAGTCCTTTTTCAAAAGCAATAAATAAATAAGGACTTTCTAATGGGAATAATTTTTTAAAATGCAAATGAAAGAAACCGCCTGCAGTCCCTGTTCTGAAAACATTTCCCCAAAGCACCCCTTCTACTGCAGCCACTGAGGGGGGGGGGGGAGAGACAGACACATTACTCCAGGGTCAACAGCTGCTCTCTTTCCCCTCTGCTTCCCACCCACCACAAGAACCCATATTCCAATATCCTTTCCTTCCTTCCCCAAATTTATGCTTTTTGGCAAGGCCTCCATCTCTCCCCCTATCTCCACACCCCACCACTCCTTGGTAGGGTTGACAGGTCCCCCCTGGCCACTGGTGTATGTGTGTGTGTGGGGGGGGATAGGGTTGCCAGCTTGGGAAACTCCTGCAGATTTGGGGATGGAGCCTGGGGAGGACAAGGGACCTCAGTGGGGCACCATGCCACAGAGTCCACCCTCCAAAGCATCCATTTTCTCCAGGGGAACCAATCTCTGTAGTCTGGAAATGAGCTAGGGTTGCCAGGTCTGGTTTGGAAAATCCCTGGAGACTTTGGGGGGTGGTTCCAGGAGAGGGCGGGGTTTGGGGAGGGGAGGGGCCTCAGCATGGCCCAATGTCACAGAGTCCACCCCCCAAAGCAGCCATTTCCTCCAGGGGAGCTGATCTCTGTCAGCTGGAGATCTGTTGTAAAAGTGGGGGGTTCCCAGGCCCCACCTGGAGGCTGGCAGCCCTACGATGAGCTATAATTCCGGGGGGGGGCAGGCCCCACCTAGAGGAGGACGCCCCCCAAAGCAGCCATTTTCTCCAGGGGAGCTGATCTCTGTCAGCTGGAGATCTGTTGTAAAAGTGGGGGGTCCCCAGGCCCCACCTGGAGGCGGGCAGCCCTACAATGAGCTATAATTCTGGGGGGGGCAGGCCCCACCTAGAGGAGGAGGATGCCCCTTACAAATCCTTGGCTGTAATTTTCTCCATTAAATAAGCAAATAAAATAAAATAAAATAAAATCCCCACCCCAGCGGTCCACAACACACCACTCCTTGGCTGCAATGTCTCCCTTTTGAAAAGGATGTACAAATCAAATAAAATAAACCCCCCCCCCCCCCCCAAATGTGCTTGCCCCACTCCTCCCAGGCTGCAAAAAGGACATGCCTATAAAAATAAAAACCAGGGGGTCCCCCCACCCCAAATCTCATCACCCCCCACCACACCCCGGCTGCGACGCCTCGTCCGGAACAACAACGAGAGGAGGATGCACCGATAAAAACCACATTGAGAAAAAGAAGAAAAAAGCCCCCAAGCGAGCCCCTCTCCCCCGCCGCCAATCATCTCCTCACCCCACCACTCCTTGGCTGTAATTTCTCTTCTTCCACGGCGTACCGGTGTAGGCGGGCTCCTCCGGCCCGGCTTGCGGCCTCCCCAGGGGCCCGTCTCCCGGCGCCGGGCCGCGGCTCTCCCCGGCGGGGCCTAAGAAGAGGCTGTAATTGAGGCCGAAGGTGCTGGCCTTGTTGTCGCGCTTCCGCTTGTTGCTGGCG